TATATTTATATACATTTAGACGCATCTGTGTCTAAATCATTCATGTGCATATCATTCGTGGAAGTGCACTTTAAAAATGTAGTTATTTCAGTAATAGTCCATTCCTGTAACGGTCAGGCCAACAGTATGAATAAATAAATAAAAAAATTGTAACTGGTGTCAATGTGCACAGTACGCAATTTTCTCATTGTAGCCAGTGGCGCTATGTGGCAGAGCCATTGTATTGGAGACAGCAAAGAGCCATGCACTGCAGAGAAGCAAACTTCTACCTTTACAAGGTGTCCCCTTCCCAAAAAAAGAAAAAAAAAAGAAAAAGACTTTACTCGCTAACATGGCTCGCAAACTTCAGAAACTTACAATACCAAGTTGTAACTGCTCTCAAAAACGTATTTCCCTGGTCACATTTTCGTGCTAAAATATCAAGTCCGATTTCCGAGTACAGAGGAAGTAAAAACGAAAAATTGGTTTCAAAATGGCATAAAGAAAAACTGGTTTTCGTTTGGCGTATTTTTCCTCCACTGTTGAAACATATCTAAAAAGCAGTTTTTCTCTTTCTTAATACTCACGAGTTGAGACTTCCAAATAGTAGCACGAAAATTTGACCAGTGAAAGACACTTTTGAGTGTTGTTAAAACTATTGTTAAGTGTCTGAGGTATGTGAGCCACCTTAGCGAGTATAGGTTTTGGGGGGACACCCGGGATATAATGGGAATTAATACATTTTCTAAATTGAGACATATATACCAGTTGTTAAAGGGGTACTCCACCGATTTCTCGAGCTACCTCAACTAACTATATTTTCTGACTCCCCTGCCTTTAGCCTTTCCGGTATGCTATTTAGCATCGCGAAATTCATAATAGGTATTGTGAAATCGGCAAATGAAAATGGTGCAAAAACCAATATTCAAATATTCGCGCACTTTTCAGTGCCGTGACGTCAGTGGCAGGCAGGCTTGCCAGTCGAGCAAGTAGTCTAAAAATAGAATATGCCAATCGTATGTTCCGTGCTGGAGCGCGGATACGGGAGCGAGCTTCCAAAGCACTCATTTGACACCAAGAAACTGCTTCAAATCCGTTGGGAACAACTTCTGTGGTCCAAAAAGTTAACCCCTGCCTTCCACTGACGTCACTTTGTTGTTGTTGCCAGTAGAGACTTTCAGTTTGAAAAACATGGTGAAGACCAAAACTGTAAATTCAATAACTTCGCGAAAAAACAATATTTTGACCTAATATTTGGGTTACTATTTTAGCAATGTTTGTTGGTTAGTTTAGCAAAATTTCAAGCAAATCGGAGACAATGAAAAAACCGGTGGAGTACCCCTTTAAGGGCTATCATTTCACCAGACCACTTGACATCGCCCCTTTAATTTGTCAGTTCTCAGGCTCGTTTCAAATCATATAAGGCACCTTGTGGAAATTTTAATAAATTTTTTTTGTAATCAGGCTGCTGCAACAGCTGAATTTTAGCACAGGCCTGCATATTCTTTCCAAAATCTAGCGCCTAAAATTAGCAGATGCCAGCTAATAGTTTCAAAATTTGATGAGTGACATCCAACATCCATTGCAAAATAATCATTTCATTCTTTTCTTTTCTGTCATATTTCTTAATTTTTATTTTGTAAACATTGTAACAAGCATGAAAGGACTCATATCGAATGCATAATATAAACACTCTTAATCATTATAACCATGAGCCCTACTGTTGAGCATTGCAGCAGTTGTTTCACACAACTAGCACATAGCCAAAGCTGAAGGAAAATTTTTGCAAATGGCCAATAAGACAAGAATATGTAGACATATGCAGTCAGGCCAGGATCAAAATTTTATTTGGGAACAGGTCTCTACAAGCTCTTATTTTTTCAGCAGAAAATACCACACTATTATTAATCTTGCTTGACCTATTTGAACTCCATATCCCACACGTGGGTGATTTCGCATTAAAATCAACAGGCCGCCCCCCCCCCCCCCCCCCCTCAATGTCATTTAAAATCATCCAGCTACTCATTCCTTTTCGTATGGGTTAGGCAACAACGAAAAGTACTCGCCCCCTCCCACTTTTATATAGAGACATTTCACGTGTATGCTTTCAACAGGTACAACAGTCACTACATCGGAGACAGAACACTCCTTCACGTGGTGTACATAAAAAGGGGCTTCAATTTTATGTTCCTGAAACAGAATAACAATCTTCTCATTTAGACCTTCCTTATATGCTAATATCTGTATAATTTCTCCTACTTTTCCATTTTTCAATTGAACGAAGCTGTTATTTTGTCGCTTAGCCAATAGATACTCCTTGGAGTGATATATTTCGCCACTGATGGACACCTTCTTAAAAGCTCTTAATCGCTGTGATGGCAAACCTAAGCATAACGTATTAATAATCTGTGAAATAGCACCAAGCTTTCCTTTTCCTAAAAGCTTAACACTAGTTCTTGAAGCCATCGTTGTAAAATCCTGGTGACCCATACGTTTTGCGCAAAACTGACGAACCTGTTTGTCTTTTCCATACTTGTTGACAAATGTTGTAACAGAGCGATAAAGCAACAAATTCTTGGCTATTTGCAAGGGAACTTTACGGGTCCCTTTCGAAAGCTTTAAAAGGAAGCCATTGCCCGACTCGAACGGAAAGGCCGAATGTGCCCACAGCGGGCCCCACTCTTTGACACTCTTTGCCATATGCGAGAGAACATGAACATTAAAAGTCATCGCATGGGAACCATAAAGTTCTTGTACACCACATACAAACTGGGTTAATAAAATATCAGCCTCATTCACGTCGCTTCTACTTATAGAGTTCTTTAAAAGAATATAGATACCATTTGAGAGAAGAGCGAAGTGTTTCAGGTAACGTTCAGGAAGACATCCTTTGAGACATGGTATGGCATAGTAGAAAAGCCAACATTTCCACTCTGATGCCTTCCACTGACACCGTTTGGTTAGTGACCTTGGCAAACGTGAAATGGACCTGGGAGGACGAATGTTTTCAAGGTTTCTGTCAATGAGATTCATTGTTCTGGGTGATCCAATGTAAAAGGGTTCCCGAGCAGATGTAACCCACATCTCTGTAATCTGTCTGGCAACACCCAACAGAACTGCATGCATATAATCTGGAACAAAGCCAGAGACAATGCCAAAAGCTGGAATAGACAGGAGTGCAGATGGTTCTTTCACACCAAAGACAGTCTTGTTTTCAAGAAAAGCAGTTTCCATTTGCTGTTCCATTTCTACATCACTTTGATCAGAGTATGACTGTAGAGAGACTGGATAGCGCATGGCATTTTCAATATACTCTCCAGGGTGGTAGCACCAACTGCATCCATGATGTCCATTGAACTGTGTTGTCTTCTGCATGATAGGTCGTGCTACACTGTCAACACAACAGCAAAGTCCAATGACTTTGCTGTTTACAACTGTTCCATCATGCCTTTGCCACGAGACTCCCTCAGTTGCCAAACTGACCTCATCATCAGCAAATTTCCAGAAAAACATGTCCATGTTTGTGTCTTCTCCGCCACACCACAAACCGGCTAGTAATAGATTCTTTTGTCGCAAAGTCGGAGGGAACTCATTTATCGTTACTTGAATTGGCCAAATGGACATATTTGATGATTTGAAGACAGAGGCACCATCAGAATTAAATGTGTACGAAAGATTGTCTTCACTTGCAAGAATTTGACCTGGCTTTGAAAGTTGTTTGTACAAGACACCATTGTATATGTCCTCAATGTTAGATTGGTGTTCCTTCTTCCTTCGGAATCGATAATCAAGGTTGTTTTGAATATCAGGATTGCTTTCTAGCATGCGTTTCAGCTGGGGAGCCAAAGACAAAGTGATAAAATAAGACAACTTTTCTACAAGTGCAGAAGTTTGGCACTGAGCACAAGTCACATGCTTGCTTAAAAGTGTGTCTTTTGTAGCAATATAGGCAGAGCAGTAGTTGCAATAGACATGGATCGACATCATGTCAGATGGTACGGAAAACAGACCATTAAACAGGTACTTTGAACCAGGTAGCACTTCACAGCCAAATGTTATGTTCAAAAGTTGCAGGAAGTCAACAAGAGCAGAAAAGGTGAAACGATGTTTGCAAAACAATGTTAAGATCATGAGAAGGACCTCAGCCACCATGGTCTTCGAGCACCTGCAGATTGGAGAACAGAGCTCTATGTTGCCGGGATCCCTTGTCGCAGCTGCTGGGCTGGATGACAGTACATACTGTGGCTCAGGCGTACACTGGAACAGAAAAGAGATCCATAACTAGGATTCCGTGTTTTTAAAGTTTCTTTCGTGAAATTCGGAGGGTGTTTTTCGGAGTTTAGATTTTATCTGAAATTCTGCGTTTATCGGAGTTTATTTCTCGTAAATTGCCAATTCTCCGAAATTCGGAGCTTTGCTTCGCTGTATTTAACCAAAATTTTGAAATAAAAATAAACAGGCTCAGGTAATGAACACCTAACAATGCAGTGAACCTAATGTAAAGCGCTTCAAATATTTACAATGAGTGCAGCCCTGGAGTACTGCATCACTGTAAATATCACAAGGAATCAGCACTTACGTCCAGGTGGCTGCCAGGAGAGCCTTGGAGACAGTCACCTTCGTCGAGCAAGCAAGCCTCCTGAACCTGCGGCGAGTCGGGAGGTTCCGACGAAGGAGAAGGCTGAATCTGCAAAAGGGAAATTCAAGCACCTCAGTCGCATCGAGCACTACTTTATCATGGGCTGTGCCTATAGAGGGTCTTCACAGAAGTCATAATAAATCGGCACTTACGTCCAGGTGGCTGCCAGGAGAGCCTCGGAGACAGTCACCTCTGTTGAGCAAGCAAGCCTCCTGGACCTGCGGCGAGTCGGGTGGTTCTGAGGACGGAGACAGTCGAATCTGCAAAAGAGAGTTCCAAGCACCTCAGTCGCATCACTCACTACTTTATCATGGGCTGTGCCTATAGAGGGTCTTCGCAGAAGTCATAATAAATCGGCACTTACGCCCAGGTGGCTGCCAGGGGTGCCTTGGAGACAGTCACCTCTGTTGAGCAAGCAAGCCTCCTGGACCTGCGGCGAGTCGGGTGGTTCTGACGACCGAGACGGTTGAATCTGCAAAAGAGAGTTCAGAGCACCTCAGTCGCATCACTCACTACTTTGTCATTGGCTGTGCCTATAGAGGGTCTTCGCAGAAGTCATAATAAATCGGCACTTACGTCCAGGTGGCTGCCAGGGGTGCCTTGGAGACAGTCACCTCTGTTGAGCAAGCAAGCCTCCTGGACCTGCGGCGAGTCGGGTGGTTCTGAGGACTGAGACGGTTGAATCTGCAAAAGAGAGTTCCAAGCACTTCAGTCGCATCACTCACTACTTTATCATGGGCTGTGCCTATAGAGGGTCTTCGCAGAAGTCATAATAAATCGGCACTTACGTCCAGGTGGCTGCCAGGGGTGCCTTGGAGACAGTCACCTCTGTTGAGGAAGCAAGCCTTCTGGACCTGCGGCGAGTCGGGTGGTTCTGAGGACTGAGACGGTTGAATCTGCAAAAGAGAGTTCCAAGCACCTCAGTCGCATCGGGCACTACCTTATCATGGGCTGTGCCTATACAGGGTCTTCAGAGAAGTCATAATAAATCGGCACTTACTTCCAGGTGGCTGCAAGGAGAGCCTCGTAGACAGCCACCCCTGTCGAGCAAGCAAGCCTCCTGAACCTGCGGCAAATCGGGAGGAGGTTGAATCTGCGAAAGAGAATTCCAAGCACCTCAGTCGCGTCAGACACTACTTTATCATGGGCTGTGCCTATAGAGGGTCTCCAGAGAAGTCATAATCAATCGGCACTTACGTCCAGGTCGCTGTCAGGAGAGCCATGGAGGCCATTTCCATTGTCCAGAGATTTGGTTCTGCAGGGCTCTGGCAAACAAAATGGTCCTGACAACCTAGGAAGCTGCAAATAAAATATGATATATTTTCAGTTTCTTTTCATAGTTAGACTTACAAAATAAGTAACAACTGAGAGGCATACCCTAGTTTGCATTCGCCAGAATGTAGCACGAGGCACCTCAACCGAGGCGTTTGAGTGCAAATATTGCTTCCGGGATGTTACTGTGTCCTATGAGAAACACACAAAATATAAAATAATGCACCATGACGTTTAGCCAGTTTACAAATTGATAAAATAGAACCAGACTCACACGAGACGATGTTGGTACTTCTTGCACTGAGGAGAATCTCGATGACTCTTCGTCCTGGAGCTAAGGAGCAGAAGATCACCTTGTTCACCCCTCTTGAATACTTATATATATATATTCAAAATATTTGGGGTGTTTCAATGCTTTATTCATATATAAAGCCCTGGAGTTTTATAACATGAAAGTGCTTACCTCACGCTGACTGCCATTTCGTGACTGTATATACTGATCATGGATGTCAAGTTCACCAGCCTCTGGTGAGAAAGCTCCCACTGATGAGCTAGCAACCTGTGACTTGAAGGAAAACAAGCACATGCGAATCACCTCCTAAAATACATTCTCTGCTTTATCGGCTCTTTAGCTGCAGTAAAATGACTCCAAAAGAATTACCAAGAAGCATTCATGAATTATATGCAGATTTCTTTTCCAATTCATCTGATCACAGAACTTCTCGACATGCAGCTAGTATTACAAAAAGTTTTCTTGAAAACAATCGAGATTCGCATGTTGCAATGTGAGATACATTGTATTTTTGAATCAGTGGCATAATATGTCGAAACCACATACAGGCTTTTCTTTTTAGTTCTTTACAGAATTTAAACAAAAAAAAAGAAGGTTATAGCTATGTGAACGCCATATTCATGTATGTTTGTAGGGCTCGGCAGACATTAGATGATGGGATAAACGTCACAGTATGTTACATGATTAACAAATTTTCTTGATTAACTTTTTAAATAGTGGTTTGATGGGCCTAGTTGCAATAGCAGTTTTAAAACGGGCCATCAATAAAGCCAGCCAAATTGACACAGCTTCTGGAGAAAGGAGCTCTGAGATATTCATAGTTAAAACTTCGCCTTTCTTTACTTGATTTAAAACCGCATGCTAAAGGGTGCGCCTGATTATGATGCGTAGAAGAGAGACGCATCTATTTCGGGTCCATCGTCACTATCTCGACAGCATGTCTTTGGTCGATGAGCTGGTGTAACACTTCCAAGATAGTGACGGATACACAGAAGTAACTAGGACTATAACACTCTTCTATATCACTCTGCTACTAAAGATTTAATAACAAAGAAATGAATGTGGGACAGATTCTTTTATATAGAAGCGGGACACATCAAGCAATAACGTTTAGATTTCTGGAATCCTTGTGGGATGTATATCAAATTTGCCCAACTGATGCCCCTCCCCTCCCTATCACCTGCTTCTCCAAACATGCCAGTGCAAAGCAGCAAAGCTAGCCGGCCGCGCGCGCCGAGGAAAGAGCCCTTATAGCCCTTATAGAATGCTATAAGGGCTTGACTCCCTTATAGCATTCAGTGAAAGTATGGTGGTCAGAAGTGCCAGTGGTGCAGGGGAATAATACAACCGCTTTTTATTTTGCAGGCATGAATTTCGCTTACGTCCAGTTTACGGACTGCAGCCGTCTGAAGGAAATCGTTGAAGTGACTGACATAAAAAATTTTGCTCCGCGTAGCCAGAAGGACTACTGCAAAAATAAGCTGTATGAAGTCTATTGGAGCCCAGATAGATCTTCCGGAATAGAAGGAGAACCCGGATACTACCCTGCGAGGATATTGCTTCTAGCAGGTGATATATTTTATTCCATATGAAAATCTGGACATGTAAAATGAGTTCAATGCGGGTCATACTTTTGGCATTCACTAAATTAAAGAGGAACCTCTTACGGACATTTATGATTGGATATCAGACCTGACCTTGGTGGGCAGGAACATGATTGTCTTTACTACAAGCTCCTGATTCTGACATGTACATCAAAAATAACTTTCTTCCAATAATAGGCTTTTCTTTTTTTTTTGCCTTTTAAAAGGCGACAATGCACCAGCTAGCTTGCCCAAGTTACCATAATACTGCAATGGTAGACACATGTTGCAATGTAATTTAAGTACATGACACATTTCTGAGAAGTAAGTAGTAAAACACTAGTGCGGTGCCCTGAATGAGACTGATGCTGCCGTGGCGCCGAGGTTCATTGTTGCGGTGTTAAGAAAGGTGACCCACCTGCAGATTTTTATTTAGTGTTGGCAGACTGAACCGCCTCAGTGTTCAGGTCCTAAAAATTAAACCAAATGCTTTTCTTGTGTAAAAGAAAGGCTGCAGCAAACTTTTGTATTATTTGTAGTTGCAAGCAGAGACTTTTGAAATATTGCCGCACGCGCAGCTGGCCAAGTAGGCAGCGCGCGTGTGGCCTAACGGTTATTTCGCCTGCCTCCCACGCGAAAAGCCAGGGTTCGATTCCTGGGAGCAACGTGTATTTTGTTTATTCCTGCAATTTAGTGTTCTGGAAAATTCGCGAATCCTGTTGCTTGTTTGAGGTCCGAATGTTCTACGCCGATTATTCCAGAAGCCCACGCGTGTACATGGGGTTTCGCGTGGTGAGCCAAAGTCAGTTTCGCCTCAGCGTTTGATCCTGCTGCTTCGCCGCCTTCGATGCCCGCGACGCTCTGTTGTTACATTTTTTTTTTCCTTTTATTTTTGGGCACAAGTTTGCCCCATTAAACGTTTAGTTTCTTCAGTTATTACCGCCTCATCACTTGTCATTCATGACAATATTGACCGTCCTTGTGAGCAGCTACTAGTAGAGTTAGATTACTCTCTGTTTGCATTGATGCACAGAAGTACATTTGACACTTTTGTGTTTCCTTACAGCTTTATAGGTTACTCCCCAGTGTGTGAAGTGAACATAAACAAAAAGTTTAACATAAGAATAAATATTTCAATCGAAAAATATTTCTTTGCATCAAGATAGCACTCCATTTTTGACTTCTTTCATTTTTATCATATTTTATCTAAACTACAAGCATGAAAAGCTATATTTTTTTTACAATTTAACGTGATGTTTATATAAACTTGGTGTCTATACAGGAGCACGGGAGAGCACACTGTTTACAAACAAGCGGCTTCTGGGTACATCGGGCATGGGCACTGCGTATGAGCAGCATACAATCTTTGGAGGGGAGAGCAAGCAGGCTCTGCTTGCTTGCTCTCATTGCGATAATGCTAATGGGCATGCTCGAAAGGGCGGAGTAATGAAATCACCGGTGCTCTTCCCCCGCTTAGTTTCGGTCTCGCGCTGTTTACCAGACAGCCTACCCCTTAGCGTCTACTACGAATTTGTAATCAAAATTTGATGTCACGGCTAGACCGTATTGATGTTGAGTTTCAATTCTCAGAATCCATTATGCACCCTCAGGCGAAAAATTAAAAAGTTAATTAAAACATTTTAGTTCACTAAGTATCAAATTTCAACTTTTTTTTCTAGAGGCCAGGCTAGGTAATTTGAGCCCCAGGGCTCAAATTACCCTATCACGTTTACTTTTTGTGTAAATTAAGTGCAGCTAAAAAAAATGCCCTGTATACTTAATTTTTATATGTAAGGAGGCATATACTAAAGAGCATACTCTAATTAGATTGTGTGGAGAAAATAGTTAGTGGCACCGACCTCCTATACTTCCCCAAAATATATTTTTTTCAAGCTTTCTTGGAGATTTTATTTTTCTAAGAATTGGGGGACTAGACATGACAAATGAAAGAAGTCAAAACTGTAGATACCATCTTGACCAAAATATTTTTAGATATTTAATTTCATGCAAAACGTTTTTGGTTACATTCCCTTCACACATTTGGGGGTAAAAGATAAAATATGAACAAAAACAAACATGTCAACTGCACTCATGTGCATCATCTTATTCAAGCAGAGCCATTAACTCTCTGATTATTTTAATATGTGACTGTGTAGAGACAAAGACAGAGATTGAGGCTCGGCTTCAAGGGGGCAAAAGGATTTCTGTCCCGAAAGTACTCAACTCTTCACCTGAAGACACAAAGGAAAATGATTGTAGAACCCGTCCAGAAAGCCCAATGGTAAGTTCTTTATTTCTTGAGACCCTACTGTTGCCTCAACTTTTCCAACAAGAACCGATTTGGTTCCAGCAAGAAATTCATCTATATAACAGCTTGCACTGACTTAATTTGGTCCTCCTTTCTGGTGTCCAAACTTCCGTGAGTGCCTTCTTCACTGCATTCAGTTATAAGGGGAGAGAGTTTGAATGGTTATACCTTTGTATTTATCACTATGTGTAGTTCTTTGTGCCCCCAATGAGATGTCAGGCCAAATGAATTCCCACGGTTTCCCCATGGCACCATTAGGCACATATGGAAAAAAACAAAACAAATATTTATCTTCAATTTCGTGGCGTCGTCTTCTCAAGATTCGTGGGTATGCGATCAGGCCATGCGTTCTGGCACCATCACCGTCAAGTCGGTCAAGTCAATACGGCCGCCATCTTCCTTGTCTAGTGTAGACCAACGTCGCCTATGATTCCCGCAAGTTCTGACTAAAATGTTAAATATTTTTCTCAAACAGTGCGAATTGGCGATTTTCTTTTTCTGTGTGTATGTCAGGCACGTATCCAGGGGGGAGGCCCATGGGGCCCAGGCCCCCCCGAAATCTTCCATTTTGCTGGGACCTCCTCTCCCCCCTCCCCCACACATACAGCATTTTGTCATGGGCAGCCCCCCCCCCCCCCGAAATAAAATTCTGGCTACGTGCCTGGTGTATGTGATGTAAGCACGTAATATTCTGCTGTTACCAGATCTATTTTAATAACCTATCAACAAATTGGCAGTGACAGTAGGAATAAAGAGAAAATACATTTGCATGATTTTCATAAAACGTTCCTTATCTCATTTGCACAGTGTTAATGTGCCCTCTTATAAGTCTTCCTCTGAAATGGCACATAAAATAAACTACATACTAATTGGAAAGTGATTAAATAACAAATGCTGGGATAACCAATGAAGCTTTTTCCAGTAAGTGTCTGCCTCTGCACACCCCCTTTCTCGTGACCTTCACTGCCGCTCGCCATTCTTGCAGGACACTGTCCTGCTGCGACATCAGTCTGTTCTTACGAGAGCAGGCGAGTCGAGTTGCCTTTCATTTTGGAGGTCGCAGCGAAACCGTCAGGCGGCTCCTTACTCAAAAGAGGTCTATTGGACATTTCCGGCCCAATTGGCATCACCAATTATTCATCTTAATGCCACTTGTATTCAACTGGTTATGTTGGTGCCAATTGAACTTGCAGTTGTATCCAAGTGGTACCAACTTGGTCAAACTATAATTGAAATTCCAATGGTTATTTCTTACTTGGGTATACGCCTTGACTGCTATTACATCTCCCAACATTGAAATGTGACCTGTCAAAAACAAAGGTTACATAGATTGTGACTTAATTGTAAGCTAACATGTGATAAGACCTCTGTAGTAAATGACACTAACAGATAGATCTCTGTTCTTATTGGTCGGCCATTTCATTCTGGTTCTTTCAACCTTTTTTTTTTCAAGTGGTGGCTGCTATAGTAACCTTTAAAATTTTAATATTAATTAATTAATTTATTTGGCACCTTAAAGGCTCGAAGTCATTACGTAAGTTTGCAATAGAAAAAGTACAGAACATGAGTACGAAATATCGGCAAGAACATAACATCAAGACATATAAGTTAGTTATCTTCTAAAGGAAAATAAAACTGGATCATAGAGACAATTGGTTCAGAGAGGTGATTCCATGCTTATGCAAAACAATGGTTTAACCTTCAAAGTACATCTAAAACTTAATTTGAGCCCTTGGGCAATGTTGATGGCCATGGCGGCCTTTAGAAAAAAGGTGAAATTAGGTAATTGGTTGATTAACTAAAATGTATTAACTTTTTTTAATTTCTCACTTGAGGGCACATAATGTATTTAAAGAATTGAAGCTCGACCTCAATATGGTCTAGCCGTGCTGTCAGATTTTGAAACAAATTTGTAGTAGGTGGTAGCTGAACCGTTATGAACGAGTTCAAACTGGTTTGACTGTTATTCTTTTGGTTCTGGAGCCGAACCTGAACCGAACCAATATGTCTGAACCGTAACTCAAACCGTAACCGGAAAAGATTTCGGTTCGACACCCTGCACATAGCGATTACGGTAATTAATCTGTTAAATAGTTTTGCATAATTTACTTTTTTAATTATTAGACATACACCAAAGCTTTGATGAGAAACTTGGCCATATTCGAAAACCCCTATATCAGTCAATTTGAGAGAGATTGCAAGTGCATATAAAGTGTACTGATGATAAGAAACAAAAAATCTTTGCATGCGCTAAGCATTTTGGTACATTTTCAGGGCCCAGAAAAATGGTACACCTGCACCCAATCTTCCTAATTTGACTGATTTAGTGTTTTTCGAGGACGCCCGGCAAGTTTTTAGGGGAAACACTACTCCAGAAGGCTAACTTTCGAACCGTTTGTCTTATTGCATGAAATTTGCAGGGTGTACTCATAGCACTGGACAAGGATGCTGTGGACATTTTCAACCCTATAAATTTATCCCACGATGAGTTACATAAAAGTTCATAATAAAAAAGTGTATCTGCTGAGGAAAGCTATCGTTTAAAAAGGGTAATGAAAATGACCAGTTTTTTGGCTGGAACATACAGCAGAATACTTGTTTCAAACGACTATGAAAAGAAATTTCAAAAATTACAAGATTTATTCATGAAAAAATATGAAAAGAAGTTTTTTTTGTGTACATTTGATTTAAAAGTAATATAAACTTTTCATAACAAAAGAGCATAAAAATGCAGAAAGTAAGTTCACAGTCGTGTTCTCCAGAAAATTTTAATATAGAAAAACCGAAATATATCTGCACGCATAATTTTGATTATGAAATGATAGCTTCCCTGAACTGATATTTGACACTAAAAAGAGAAGCTGAGATAAATGCACTTGAAGTTTCATGATGACGTTTTAAAAATTTATTTTTGCGTCTTAAAGGGACCATGAAATGATATTAAAATCGAGTTTCATCCACCGCACGTCGTAAAAGGTGTGAAAAGAAACACAAAAACACAAAAATAGGGAGCCAAAAAAAATTATTTGCTATAGAACTTTTAAAAGAAAACTGGACTCTTTTGCGCCTTCCTTCCTTCGCCTGTTCACTACGATGTATCCGCGGAAATGGAGCACGTCAGCCAAATCCAGGTCGCCTATTGGGTAAGAGCCTACCTCACCAGCTCCGCGATCGTAAACAATAAATAGCCGGCGAATGTTTCCTAAAAGTTTTGTTAAATAATATTCAGATCCACATTTTGTAGCATAATTAGAGATGTGTGGCGAAAATTGCCAAATTTGATAATGCTGAGAGCCAAGCGCCATCTATCGTGTGGTAAACGAAGCAACTACTGCGCGTGCGCAGTAGGGCAGGGCCGACATCAGAACGGTTATTTCCTTTGGTTTCCCTCCTCTCAAAACTCTGACTGACTGAACGTTTATTTTTCTACGTGTTCTTCCCGCGCGTGCCGACTTCAAGCAGCAAGAAAACAGTGCTTAAAACAGACCACGACGAACAAGAACGCTGGATCCACCGACTCCGACGAAGCGAGGTGCTCAGAATATAGGCCTAGCAGGCATTCCGACTCGGCGCTGCGTTGCTTCGTCGCAAGACCGTCTGCCTACGACCGGCTGGCGTGCTAAATGGAATATGCCCGCGCGACCCTTGTGGACCCTTCCCGTATTATAGTTTGATCACTGACCTCAATTCTAGATTAAGAGGTGAGGTCAATCTCTTCCCCTTGTTTTCCGAGGCAGTGTTGACGAACACTCGTCGAAAAGGGACTCTCGTCCATTCTATCTTGTTTTGTGTGATATAGAGCTGAAATAAACGCCGTATGGATTACCTTCGTAACACGGTATGTACACTTTGTTATTGGTATGCCATTTTTATTCTGACAGACTGCACGTCACTGTCGAGCTATAACAGTTCGTGGGAGGTATACGTACAACCCCGGTCTAACCTTTCTTTGCCGAGTGTCGCGTCAGTATCGAGTTGCAATCGTAAAAGAACGGTCCCGAAGCGATTACAAACAGCGCGAATACAGCACTTCCATCGAACGCGCGCGTCCGCTCCAAGTGTAAACAGGTATTTACGTGGCTCTTGCTGACACTCGTAGTTCAAACGTATCTTTTTTAACGTCGGCTCGCTCCTGCATCTCCGAGGCCGCGAAAAACGCCATCTACGTCGCTTTGCAAACGACTGACACGGGCCGGCCCTTCTGCCAACAATGACAGGGTGGTTGACTTCTGGAGTCTTCACCGGAAGACTCGCTGCACTTCCCAACAGGCATACCGGCGTATGGGACTAGTCCCATGCTGTCGCTGTAGCGCAACATATCTCATTGAATTTCGCTCAGCTGTGATGCGGCGATGAGGGGCGCCGATTCAGGAAGTACGTCGGTGACATCAGCGCAGTAAAACCTACCGGCGCACCCCAACTCGTTGCCGCTAACACTCCCATTCTCCTATTGCCGAGAGAACTTCCGGTTCCGGAAACGGTTTACGTCACGGCTTGTTTTGCGGTCAGTTGGAGAGAATGAAAAAGTCGATATTTCAATAATTTTTTGTGTAGAAGTTAATAAACCGAGACGAAAACGGATGCCTGTTCGGCATTCAGTGAACATTGACGGTTTAATGTAAAAGTTATCTGGAAAAAGTAAAAAGGTCATTTCATGGTCCCTTTAAATGTCAGAAATTCTTTCCAGTAGTGTAGGTGATGTCTTCCTCAAACTTCTGATATACTGACATTGCTTTCAGCTATTTTCACTTGTGGATGGCGAGTGCTACGCAGTGCAGCACACCTCACCAACATAAAAAGAATAATTATTTTTGACATTGATTGTCAGTGCACACTGACAAGACTTTGTGAGAGTGTTTTTTGTTATCCATACATGCCAAAACTTTGCAGTTCTGAATATGCATTTAAAAAAAAAGGTGAAATCCCCCTTTTAAAAGTGCCATAATGCTAGTTCCCTTTCATTAATATTTTTGTCAGTCTTGCATGAAACTCCTTGCATATACTTTGTCTTACCTTAGCATGGACTATTGTTGGCTGCATGTGCTAAAAGAGCTAATTGCCTTGGGTGACGCCTCGCAGGCCACACAAACGCTCGTGCAGTGCGAGCGCCAGTCAACGCAATCAAGGCTACAGTCTCGTGCCAGCACAGCATTTGCGGTTAGCCCATGCTAGGGTGAGACGAAGTATAGTAATGATAATATGGTTCTTTTAGGCGGTCCAGTCTTTTTAACAAAAGGAAAGTTCCATTAGGATGCTTCTAATTTATTTTACAATTTGCTTACTCAAACTGGCAGACATTTGGAGAATTGTTGCTTGTGCAATTAGGCAGCTAATAAGCAAATATTTGTTAATTAACTGCAAGCCAGTTATTGTCTGCAAATTTAAATTTTGACCGACTCCAGTGATGCATAAAGGCTCAGAGGCGACCGCAAAACATTGTCAACCTTTAGAGGCAAGTAACCTAGCTATGATGGGATTGGAACCACATTGGGAATCCAACCAATTTAGATTTAATGACCAGTGGTGAAAAATAAAACAAAACAAAAGGCTATCTACAACATGGGTTGCAGGAGAGAAGACAGGGCAGGCTAGCCATATGTTAAAATATGGTGTCATAAAGAAGTTTTATTTACATTTTGACCCACAGGCACATCAGAAGTCTGCAAAAATGGCAACTGCAGCAGCCATGAGGAAAGTGTTGTCCATGAAGCTGCAGCAGAAGCGAAACAGCCCTCTCTTTAGTGATCATGGAACCCCTTGCTCAGACAGTGATGACGGTGCAGTTGTGCCTGAGAAGGTTTACCAGGAACTTGTTGCCAAGTATCGCCGAGCGAAGGAGAGCATTAAGGAGCTAAATACGAAAATTGACAATCTGAAAACAGCTGGGCCAAGTCAGTTTGAGGATATTATTTCAAGGCTGGAACAGATCGAGAAGAAACTCGATAAAAGTACCAGTGGTATGTTTCCCTACTTTCCAGTAAATGTGTGTTTGACTATTTTAAAAGAAATTTTGAAGCAGGTTTCTCACTTTGGCAAAATAGTGCTAGGAATAAATATTTAAGCTTCATGAATTGAGAAAAAGGCATCAGTTCACATGTCCTGGTCTTGGCAAAAGTACAGTCGGCACGAACTGAAAGGTGAATGGCAGGCCGATGGTTTTCTACTCGCCACCAGTGCTACTCTGTAGCTTGGGACCAGCCAATCAAGGGACTAACAGAAACTACTCCGATGTGTTAGACCTGCTGCACTCGCTGCGTCTCAAGCTTCAGGGTAGCGCCGGCAGTGTGCCAAAAACTATCAGTCTACCGTTTTCAGTTCCTTTTGTGCCGATTGTACATATAAGGGGCTCACATTCTATTTTTTTCTGAACTGCTTTATTTGTTTTTGTGAAGATAAGGTCTCTCTGCCCCTTACTGAACCAATGAGATATCAATAGATACAGTAGAACCTCAGCGTGCTTTTCAGCGACCGTAGAAAAAAAAAATTGCATCACCCGGGAAAATGTAACAACCGATAACGCTGTTGGTGGAACTAGAGATGTGACGGGGAGCAACCCTCACATTGGGATTTACACCAGAATGGCTTTTGGGGGTTCGGAGAACTACCATGTTAGTTACCATATAGCTGGGCATTCTTTTTCGGCACAGTTGTTTAGAACTAGCACTCAACCACTACCGTATCTACCCTATTAAAGCGCGACCACGATTGCTACTTCGAGGGGCAACTTTTCATATTGCTCAGTAGGGAAAATAGAACCACGAATGTCGTGTGAGGCTAATTGAGAAATAAAAAGGTACCTTTATTTTCCTAGAAATCGTTTCCAATACGATTTCTGACAACTGTACTCATTCACGACGAGCAGCGATCAAGTTTTTCTCAGCTCTTGCTCCGCTCCCGAAGCCTATAAACAGGCGTCACACTGAGCCCGCTGCGTTGCCATCATTTCCATCAAAACGTGTTAAGATCCAAGAACTAAAACACGCACTAGAAACCGGTGAGTTAAACGGACTCTAATCGCGCCATCGCTCGCTCGCTGGCCGCTATAGATTCAAACGGATTTGGATTCGGATTTGACTAGATGATTTGAAGACTCCAACAGAGGCCGAGAGGCATATGTTGCCAACAGAAGACCGGAAATCCGCCACTCCCAGGATCGCGGGTTCGGGAGTGCCGAGGGGCAGATTTTGGACGTAACAACCTGGAAATCAAACGCAACAGACGGGAAACTAGTATATGTATTTCTATGGGAGTTAAACAGGACCGGCACTTATGAACGTAACAGCCGTGAAAACGTATCAACCGGGAACATACCAACGAGGTTCTACTGTAATAAAGTTATTAATTCTTGATGGAGTTCGAACATAAAGGTTCGAAGTTTATAAGGAAAATTTTAAATGTATAAAAAGCAACATGCTGCAGTCACTACTGCTCTGGCTTCTTGAGGTATGTAACACCATAGAGACTGAGCATCGCCCTTAATTACGATGTAATTGCATGTGATCAGAGTGACAGGTGCTTGCGTTATCTTTTCTACTGCAGAAATTATGATTTAATTTTTGGAAATGCGCTAGCTGGGGGTCTAGCCTCACAGGCATGTGACCGTTTTTTTTTTGTTCTGGTTGCCAAGGCTGAAAGCGCCGATTCGTACAGGTACATTGACGTGAAGGGCAGGCAAACTTCGACAGCTCTGTTTGACATCGGGTTCGCGTTGCTCTTTCGACAAAAATGCTCCCAAGCACTCGACAACTTCCATATTCCCTTTGCGCTTGCTCTTCGAAACTGATGATAAGACATTTGAAGCAGTGACAAAGCGCTTTTGGATCTTCGTTGTCTTCCTGAGGCTCTGCGACCCACTCTGACCACCTCTGGTATAGAAGCGTCATTTTTCTCCAACCAGCAGCTTTTTTTCATTGCCCTTGTCATTTTCAGTTTTTTGTATTAACAATTGTAAACCAGGAGCGAATGTGTCAATTAGCCTAATGTGAACATTTTTGGCAATGGCACAGTTGAAGATACCTTGCTATGATGTTTTCCAGTGCTCTCGGCAAAGCAGTGTACAGAACCCATCCCAAAAAAGGCGCGCTTGACGACCAACGGCGAAACGGTAAGTTCGAGCCCTAAATGGGTGTTTTTTTTCCATTCTATAAGGTTATTTTTCCATCGATAGATGTTAGTCTATTGATAAATCTATTGTCTCAGCTGGTTCACTTATTTACGAAAATTAAATAAATAAAATAAAAAATCTCCGTTATACATTGCTGAGAAAAGTTTCGCCAATAAGCCATGTAGGCTGTTTTAAGTATATGCAGCTCCAGTTCAGAGATCAGGGGTAACTGGACGAAAACTCACAGGACAAATGCTCAGTATTCCCACAGACCCAGACAAAAGCTAACCAGGCCAATAACTGGCAGACAAACATCATTGGTTATTAACATAGTTATTGCTTATTTTTCATGCTCTGATTAATTTTAAGATAAATTAATAATAAGATAAATTAATAATTGAATTGGTTGTGTACAGTTGGAAATGAAAGCAGCCTTCTGCAACAAGTTAGCCTGAAAGAAGTGGCACAAGTGTGTTACATGCAGTGGCCTGCATATAATGTCGTAGAGTAGAAATGAAATTGGCCACTACTTTCGCTTTTCTGTCATGTTTTATAAGGGTTTAATACGAAATTGAAACCTCAAGACAATTCTACTTGAACTTTTTGGCCCCCAGAAACAAAGATTCAGTCCTCGTATGAAAATAGGTGATAAAGACACTATTTTTGCCTCGTTAAGCATCTGTTCAGGTGCAGTCAGAAAATGGTGAACTTTTGTCCGGGTCCATGAAAAAAGGTGGATTCAGGATGCAGACTCTGGCAAAACCTAACTTTGCTGTGCCTTGTGCATTTTCACAATTTCGAAAGTATAGTAGCCATTATTTTTAGCTAAGGTTGATGTGCATCACTTGCCCAAGATCCTCTAAGCATATTGGAAGACCCGGTGTTCGATACCTGGATGCACAAAAGTTTTCTTTCATTTATTTGCTTTTTTAGCGGTTTCTAATGTTGTTTATTTTTTTTTTCATATAATCAGTATGCTTCATTCATCAGCATATTTGAATTATTAAAATAATTGCATGTTCATTTAACTTTACAATTGCAGGTGTGTATCAACAACGTAGCGACGATAGCCCTCACTCAGTGGTTGACATGCCAGCGACAGAAGAAAGAATCCTTGTTCGTACGTAACCTCACAGTTGCTATGTGGGGTAAAGAGTCTCTTCAGCAACGATCAACGCAAGGCAAGCCAGCAAATCGTGGCCCTGCGGCCGGCACGCAAAAACCACAGCTAACGCCTGAGAAGGTTGCTGCATTGGAAGGTTCGTAATTTCATGGCAGCTTGCGGTAATTTCAAGCAAAAGCATTCGGTAGTAATGCTAACAGTGCAAATATTTTATGAAATCCCATTTGTAAAGTCCCCTTCTCCCTATACATTTAATTTTTCCCAATTATTTTGTTTGTTCAATTAACTTTGTCCACTTAATTTCTAGTGTCTGCATCTAGTAAGTTCTATAATATTTGTGAAATATATTTGAGGTAGGACATTTCAGTAACAAGTATGTTCAAAAACTGTCTGCCCTTCAATATTATATTCAAGAGCACTAGGTTACCGCTTGCGACCATGACCACAAATTTCTGGGTCATACTGCAGCTGGCCAGTCTTCTGGCCTGTCTATGAATAAGCAGACAAAATCATTGAAATCTCCTGTTTACGGAGGGGTACGTACAGGCATCAAATTCGTAATATAGTGCCGAAGGTGATGTGTAGTTATATATCAGGTGGTCACGTAGGACAAAGCTGGGATATGACAGGAAGAATTCTACAAGATCTGGTTATTATATGTGACTGCCAAGGGAGGCAGTCAAAATATAAATTCTTGACGGACTGTCGGATAAGACACACAATATGTGACTGCAGTCGGTGTGCCGGCCATATCAGAAGACTATGTACAATACATAAGCTTACCTTGTACCTAAAAAAAGAAAAACATGGTGCCCTACTCAAGCTATTAGCCTTGGCTGATTCCATTTATTGCCCTAAAGAGACAGGCTGATTGAATAGGAGAAGGGATCACTTGGGGTCCTAAGCGTGTCTCTGAAGATGAGTCCGTCCCTATAGACGCTTTGCAGCAGATGTGCATGGACGCCGCCATAACTGACCTTCAGTTTTTGTTTCCTCTTATTCCGTTTATTTCACTTCATGATTACCATGACAGGCCAGGTTATTGCCACATTATATTCAACTGTGTCCTTTTCTAAAGCATCGGCCTTTGTAGAGGATCGTCAACTACCGTTTCAGTTGCTCGGCATCTCGGTAAGACAAGAGAAGGTCGGCTATGGCGGCTGTAATTTGGCGCGTGTGTAAAGCGTCTATAACATAAAAACTGAACATACCTATGCTCCACGTTCTGTTACATTTACTAAGCCACCATACTCGGTCCAGGTCAAATATGAGAACTGATAGTTTTCATTAATCTTTATCATAACATAGTGACAAGGATTTTTTAGTCTAAACACATTTTGTGTTAATATAAAATACTTATTTGGGAAACCTCAGCTTGTTGAAACAGTGTCTCTGAATTAAGGCCCTGCTAAAGCCAGTGCTTGAGCGGGAGTAGAAGGCAAAAGTCTCGTCTATTGCAGTTGCACACCCTATTTTTTTACCCTGCCTCCTTCAGTATCTGCGTTTACTGAGATGCAAGGTAGTAGGCACACACACACACACACACCATATTTGCGCGAGCGGTCACACGTAACATCGCAGCCATCTGAAATGTTTCAAAATTTCTTTTAACGTGCCACAGTAGCTTAGCAGTGTGGGTCACAACTGAAGGGACGCGGGTTTGAACCCAAGCCAGTACCACTCTTTCTGAGATGCTTCTTTTTATGCAGCTAAATTTTCATGCGATCCACTTTTGTTATTTTGGACTGCCTTTGAGGAGTGCTTGGGACCAGTCTTATAACGGCTTTCTTTTTAAAATGTTTTTTATCTAGATTGCAATGAAGACTGGCTCAGGCAACATGGAGCAAGTGGGGACATCTTGGTCGAACGAATGGAACACATGAATAGCCACGTCATCAGCACGATCAGAGATTGCAATCGAGTAAAGAAGAACCTTTTTGATGAGTAAGACGGAGACAGGCAGCTAACACCTGCCTTCCTCTCTTCGCAATGCCCCTGTCTGCAGTTGCCTCGAGGGAACAAGTGAAGACCACCTTGACCACTTAATGTATCTTTTTGACTTCTGGTTACAAAAAGGTTAGATTTTTAATTTTTGGTGTGTTCAAGTAAGACATAGGAGCAAAGAACTTCTCAGGTGCAGAACTCACCAATCACATGTGGAATTTTTTTTTTTCTGTAGCTCCTTTTTGCCCTGCTCCAACGTTTTTCGTGAAGCTTTTTAAAGCCGAAAGTTGATGTCTTGCTTTAAGTGAAAAGGAAACTTTTCTCCATGCAGCTCCTTACTTGGGTCCGTCAAGAATGAACACGAAACACTAAATAACTAATATTTTTCGTGTTACCGAAAGCATAAAAGAACAATTCTCCATTTATTGTGTCGAACCAGCGCCAACTTGAAGTGACGCTGATGAGCAGATACTTTATTTTCTCATAGTCAATTTCAGTGTTTGTTGACCTCCTATGTGAATTGAACAGTGGATGCAATGTTCAACTAGATTTGTTTTGGACGAATTTAACTGAAGATTTCCTACATTTACCAAAAGCGTAAAGAAACATTTTTTTGTGTGCCTAAGTACAGTACAACTTGAATTTTATGCAGGCCTTATGGGGTGTCTTATCGCCAGTCACTTTTCTGTTTATTCATGTTAGTTGTGAAATAAAATGAGCACATGTGTTCAACATTTGTTTTCTCTCAGCAACCCCTCTGGCAAGCATGAAAGACAAAAGATAGTGTGCACAAGATTGAAATTCTGCTCCTGAGTTGAAATTTAATGCCATGTTCGAAAGGATTTCGCGACTGACAAGTCTGAAATTGTTTAAATGTGGCTCAGAGCTATGCAAGAGTCAAATCTGTTAGACCTTCTAAAATCTAAGTTAGACCCTGTACTGGTATGTGGCAGAAGGAAGATGTAGAATGAAAAGAGAACTATGCTGTTAAATGACTCCATTTTTTTTGTAGGTGCCTATCATAAAAAGCAGGATTTGTTCTGTGCACATTGTATTGTTTTTCATGCTCATTGGGGCCAAGTGAATATCACTGCCACATCTCCAAAGTTAGCTTTTTATTTTCTAAATTGCAATGGCATTATGCATACATATGTTTCAGGATGTTCCATGGATTTCTCCAACTGGAGCGCACTTGGCATCTGAGCAGTGATAAAAACCTATGGGATTTTGTCCCAGAAATGCATACACATGCATTATATTTTTTTAAGGGGTCTGGTTTTTGACTAACCTAATGTGCACATTGGCATCTCTTGCCAATTCCAGCTCATTGGTTTTCGCCCCATAAATGCTGTCCACGCAATGTGCACAGGGGTGCATATTGCCAATTGCAGTTTATTGGGTTTCACCCCATAAATACCATCAACCCAATGTGCACAGGGGTGTCTTTCACCAATAGCCGCTCATTGCATTTTGCCCCATAAATACCCTCAACCCAATGTGCACAGGAGCACCTGTTACCAACCGCCGCTCATTGGTTTTCGCCTTATAAATACCATCAACACAATGTGCACAGGAGTGGTTGTTGCCAATTGTCGCTCATTGGTTTTTGCCCCATAAATACCCTCAATGCAATGTGCACTGGGGTACCTGTTGCCAATTGCTGCTCATTGGTTTTTGTTTCATAAATGACATCAGCCCAATGTGAGTTCCCTAAGGGATTACCAATGGGTGCACATGGGTTTTTGTTCCGTAAATGCATATTGCTCAATGGGCCTGAACCTACAGTTGCACATTGGTTCAATGTGAATTTTGGCCTCATTTCCATCTGCCCATTTCCAGCAGGGAAGGAGCTCGCGATTCAGCATAATGCACTGCTACGGGCCCGTGTATCTTCAAAGTTCGGGGTGGTGGCAGTATAAAAGAAAGACGCATCAGCGCCCCACACTAGTGTTCACGAATAACACCGGTCACAAACTCCCAAGCCCCACCGCTCTTCTCGACACCGACACGACATACGACAACAAACTGCATCAAAACGCCCCAAAAGTGAAGGCGTCTGCTCCCGTACTGCAACTGCTGCAACTAGTGGAAGTGAAGTGTTGGGCGGATGTCCGGATGCCCTTCACAAAAATATATAAAAAATGCTTTGCGCAAGGATCATTTTCATTTATTATTGTATACGTAATGACAAAATCCCAATAATTTGTTTTCCTATGTTATTCAAGCTAGTCGGACTGCTCACAACACTGGTCAAGCAAGAAAATAACAAAAATTTGAACTTTTTCATGACCGGTTTAAGATTTATTGTTAACATATCGTTATTTATTGCAACAGACTAACATTATAGATTTTGCCTCCATACTTTTTAAATGCAGACGTTCTAACACACGGCTGTCCATTGCGCCGTGTTTTGTGTATTCTTCTATAAATCTGTAATGGTTAGCGACCAAAGAGCTCACCTGCAGATGTCAAGCTTATATACGCCGCGGGGAGAAATGGATATCGAGTAGGAAGTGTCGGGCGTAGTGTCGGTTGTTGTGTTTGTGTATACGTCGGTGCTGTGTAGCTGTGTGCTGTGTTGCCTTCGTTGTATGTAGGGTTGCTGTGTAGTCGTGGTCGTTCGCAGTGTTAACCTGACTCGTCTTTTTTTTTAAACAGGCTGCTAGAAATCTCGATAGGTGGCGCAAGTTACCGCCCGATTGTAAATAGTTTTAGTTTTGGAGTTTTAGTTTTGTTTTGGTTTTAGTTTGGAGGTTTTAGTTTTGGAGGGCGATTCTGTCTCGCGCCTGTGACATTTTTTGGTGAACGAGATCGTGTCTGAGACTGAGGACGAAGAAGGAGGGATGGCGCGTGAAGAGACATTCGGGTTTTTGGGGCGACGAAAAAGCAGGGCAATTGTCGGGATGGATCTCACCGCGGTCATGTAAATATTAAACCAAGTCCTTTTTATAAGTCAGTTCGTGGCGACTCATTACGCAAAAGATGGTGCCGAAACCCGGGATTTCAAGCCAGGAACGACCCTAAGAAACCGTGAACGATCGGTCGACCCGGACTGACTTTCGAACGAACGACCACGTAAGAGATTCTTTCAACTGCCGGTTATTACCTACCCTGGAACGATATGGAAAGAATAAGAACGAAGAGGGCGTCGAGACGAGCGTAAAACACCCGCATAATCCGAGAGGCGACCACTATTCTTCGGTCTACCGACGTGGAACAAATCGAAGCGACTCTGCGGAAACTGGACGTCAACTACGAAGAACTCAAGAAGCTCAACACTGACTTAGAACCATTTATTGCGGATGGAGATCTTGAGGCAGAGTACTTGTCAGTGATGGAGTACGAAGAACAGACAACTTCCGTTTTGAGTCTGCTTCGGAGTCGAGCGACGCAACTTCGTTCAAATGAACCGCCACGCCCATCAGCATCAGCAATTGGCTCCCACAACGAAGAAAGAGGCGAAAGGAGACGCAGCGGTGTAAAGCTTCCTAGGTTGCAGCTACAGCCATTCAAGGGCGATCTTTCGGAGTGGCAGCCATTTTGGCAACAGTTCAAACGAGCTGTGCACGACAACGATGATCTGTCGAATGGCGAGAAGTTCCAGTACTTGAAGACGCTGGTAAACGGACGGGCGAGAGCTTCCATCGCCGGTCTCCCAGTAACGGACGCCCACTACAAGGATGCAATCGAAAGTTTGACAAGACTATTTGGAGACGCACGACTAATCCAGAAGGAGCATCTTTCGAAGCTTCGCGATCTTCAAGCTGTAACCTCCTCAACCGACACAAAGGGGCTGAGAAGGCTTTTTGGTCAAATGCAAGCCCACGTACGAGGTCTTCGAGGGCTTGGAGTCGCACCTAACACGTATTCGACCATGCTGACAGATACTGTCATAAGTGCACTCCCGTCCGACATCGTGGTCGACTATTACCGACGTGCTGGTCACTCCGAAAGGAAGGCGGTCTTCCAGGATGGAGGAAACATGGCCTCGACACTATTTCTGCCAACGTCACTAGAAGAACGGTCTTCCTCATCCGGTACTGCGAGCACTGCGGCGCCGGCCGCGACACCAACATTACGAGCTGAAGATATTCCAACAGGCCGACGTCTTCCGGAAGGCGAATTGGAAACCCTGCTGGAATACCTGCTCATCGAGATCGAGAGCAGAGAACGATCGGGAGTCATCGATGATCGCCCGCAGAAGAGGAATAGCAGAGAGCAACAACAGAAACGAGCTTTCTTACCATCCTCTTCGGTTCTGCATGCGAAGGCACATGGCACAAAGAAGTGCTTCTTTTGCGGAGCCACGAACCACGATACAGAGTTCTGTTCCAGTGACATCTCTTTGAAGGAGAAGAAAGCGAAGCTTTCTGGAGAAATGCGATGTTTCCGGTGCACACTAAGAGGACTCAGATCAAAGGATTGTCACAGGAAGTTGTCCTGCACTACCTGCCCAGGACGACATGCAACATCAATGTGTGATCCCACTTGGAAACCTTCATCGGGCAGCGGCGAAAACCAAGCCATCACTACTAGCGTTCAGAGCACCGACAACAATAATGCTGCAGGCTTGCTGGACGCAGAAATTCTTCTGCAAACCATTCGGGCCTGGGTGCAGTGTGTGCATACGTGCTATCTTTGATGGCGGAAGCCAGCGAACGTTTATTCGCGAAGACATTTCACGTAAGCTGAATATGAAGGTGTTAGGTGAGACTAACCTGCGTTTGAACACCTTTGGAAGATCGACTTCGATACCACAACAACGAAGGTTGGTTGAAGTGAAGATGCGCAGTCAGTACAGTCATGAGAATTATGTTATCGAAGCGGTCGAAATACCATTCATATGCAAAGACGTTGTCCAGGTACCTGTGGATCACAAGTTTGTCCAGAGCATCGAACAAGGAGGAGGCTGCATAGCAGATAAGCTTCTTCTCTTTGGTATGCCAACGGAACCAGGAATAAGCCTCCTTATTGGCTCAGACCAACTGTGGAAGGTCACGACAGACGAGATGCGGCGATGTGAGGGAAATTCCATTCTAGTGGCCTTCAACACCAAATTTGGTTGGACTTTTCAGGGACCAGCATCGCTGCATAGCTCTCTTACTGGATCTACT